TAGGCCATTGAGTAAGAAAAACATTTAAAACTTATTTTATTTTATTAATATTTTCAACGTTAGTTTTTGAAGATTGGTACTTGGGACGCGTTCCCGAAATGATTTTTGAAGTTATTTCTTTAAATATTAATAAATGTGCTTTACTTTTTCAGTAAAAAATATAAGGTACAGTTAATATGAACATAGTTAAGTAATATTTACAATATCAATTTGTTTAAAAACACCAAATTTAGACTTTTATTTGCTGATAAAGCTAATTCTCCACCTTGGTGATTTTGAGCCATAAGATGAAAGTTGAAGATGATGAAGAAATTCGTCATTTTCAAAACTAGTACGATGAAACTTTTGTCTTTAGATTTTTCGAGTTACATTATTAAATATTTATTATTTATTTGAATAAGGTCACTATTCCACACGGACGAAGTCGCGGGTACAGCTAGTTAATTTATAAGGCAAAACAAGGTTTGCCGGGTCAGTTAATTTATATCTATAATGAAATGAAATTCGGTTTCAAAAGAAGGAATATTAATTAAGCTTAATAGCTTAAAACTTCAATCCTAGATGAAGTGAACAGGGTCGATTTAGGTTTTTCATTACTATTATAGAAATGTGTAACGGGGGAACACGTTACTTAGTACGAAATTGTGTATATTACAATAAAACTTAACGAGAAAATTAATAATAATAATGATGATGTCACTGGAACACTACTATACCGTACATTAGTCGCGAACTTTCTGGAAGCGCGAGAGGCGCGCTCCTATTGGTCGGTCGGTGCGGTTACCGCACGACGCGCATGCGCTGTACGCTTAGATGAGTCTCAGGGCGCGGGCATAAGTACTTACTATGTAGTATGTATACGTATGGGTGTCACCAATGTTTTTTTACAATAATATTACTCTATTATCTAAGCCAGTAATGTGTGCTTATTTTGAACTTGATAACATTCAGAATTACTTGTATAACTTTCGATATCTACAATAATAATATCTTTGATGTATGAAAGAAATGTATGTACCTACAGTAAAAGATAATTTTTAAAATGTATGAACCTACATTAAAAGATAATTTTTGACATGTATGAAATGTATGTACCTACATTGAAATATAATTTTTGACATGTATGAAATGTATGTACCTACATTGAAATATAATTTTTGAAATGTATGAAATAGAAATAGAAATAATCTTTATTCAAATACAACTCATTACAAGCACTTTTGAATAGTCATATTTTGATTCTACCACTCATTCGGAATTCAGATTCATCACAAGAAGAATGAGCAAGAAACTTGTGTGTTGCTCTTTTTAATAGATGTTTTATTTTATATAAATAATTACAGTATAACAAGTAAGAGGCATACGATAATCAACATAGAAGTCGCTACGCACTCATTATTAATGTAATCAGATAATATTGTCAGTGCTATAGATTTAAAGTTTTTCTATAAAAACATTATTATCGTTAACGAATTCTTCAATCTTATAGTAAGCTTTTTGGCAAAGGAACTGTTTTATTTGACATTTAAATCTTTTTTCTGGCAGATTTATAACAGACTCTGGTATTTTATTGTAAAACCTTACGCAATTGCCATAAAACGAATTACTAACTTTAGCCAAACGACATTTAGGTAAAATCAGTTTGTTATTGTTACGTAAGCTTTTATTAGTGCAATCACTAACTCTTTTGAAACTGTCTATATTCCTTCTGGCATAGATGATATTTTCATAAATGTATTAAGAAGCAACGGTGAGGATATTTGATTCCTTAAAACACTCTCGCAATGACTCCCTGGAATCCATATCATAAATGGAGCGAATGGCCCTCTTTTGTAAAGTAAATACTGTATTTATATCAGCTGCTTTGCCCCATAACAAAATACCATACGACATAATACTATGGAAATAGCTAAAATAGACAAGTTTAGCCGTTGCCACGTCTGTTAATTGTCTAATTCTTCTTACCGCATAAGCGGCAGAACTAAGTCGACTCGCCAATTTAGTAATATGAGCACCCCATTGCAACTTGGAATCTAATGTGATACCTAGAAATACAGTATCTTCAACAAAATTAATAGATTTATTGTCCAATACGATTTTTGAATCTACCGGCCTTACATTGGGGAGAGTAAATTTGATACATTTAGTTTTATTTGCATTTAGTAGCATATTATTTGCCGTAAACCATTTTAAAACATAAGAGAGAGAACCATTTACTTCGTCCATATCATCAATATGTCGATTGACTTTGAATACTAATGAAGTATCATCAGCAAACAGAACTATGTCAGCTATCTTTTCTACCATATAAGGAAGATGTTTATATAAACTAAAAATAAGAAAGGACCTAGAATAGAGCCCTGAGGAACACCCATTTTAATACTAGTTCCCTCAGACTTTACACCATTTATTTCAACAACTTGCATTCTACTATTTAGATAGGATTTCATCATGCATAGTGCTTCATATCTAATACCGTAATGTTCTAATTTGAGTAAGAGTGTTTCATGATCAACGCAATCAAATGCTTTTGAGAGTTCACAGAATACACCGATAGCATCTTGAGACCTCTCCCATTATGAAATGTATGAAAGTAATGTATGTACCTACATAAAAAGTTCATTATTGAAATGTATGAAAGAAATGTATGTACCTACATAAAAAGTTCATTTTTGAAATGTATGTACCTACATTAAACGATAATTTTTGAAATATATGCACCGTACAATAACAAGACACGTTAAACATCATACCACAGAGTCATACGCAAGTTAAAAACAAACTGCTATGATATTAATGAGAAAGGAAAATCAACTTTATGCCATTCGGGTTAGGGTCGATTTCTCTCTTTTTTTTTTTAATACTATTTTAATCTTACCAGTTGCCAGTATTCGACGACAGCTACGATTCGTACTCGATATTTTAAATTATTATGTAATCGATTTTTCAGTACAAATGTAAATAACCAACAACACTAATAATATACTACTATATTCCGTTCTTTGAAACGGAACACTGCTATAATACAAAATAATGAAATTTTACTGTTCACAAAGACTAATTAAAAGCATCATCGAATAATGCGCTGTAATAAAATCCTGTTAACGATTATTCAAAAAAATCGATAATACATGTATTTATTTTTAATATGGTAACACTTCATACATAGGTATTATTGGAAAAAGTATTACTTGCTTGTTCGGCTATTTTTAATTTATTTAAAGTTTTTTTATATGTTTAATTTACAATAATAATAATATATTCAGTGCTTATTATTGGAAAATATAAGAAATACATTTAATTAGGCCGATACAAATGACAACAATGCCATCTATGAAAGCATTTTGAAAACATTGAGCCCCGTATTAGCAATGATTAAAGTGTAATTAAATACTGGAAAATAACAAAATGAGTAAATATATGAAAATTACTTTTCTAATCGCATTATTTCATTTTAACATGTATATATAACTTTTTAAAAATAGATTAAACATTTTTGAAAACACAGTTTAGTTTTTTTAAACGTTTGCAAAACTATGAAGAATTCCATCGATACCAATCACGCCATCTATATGCAATATTTAGCAATAATAATGGCTACCTTCCCACGAAGTGCCACTGTTATAACCAAATTAGATCGCCTGTCATCGTTTTTCCAGTGGAGCACCAGTAAAGGATGGAAGGAGATGATAAAATCAAGGCTCTTATGCCATTCTTATATATATTTTTGGAATTAACCTCCACTGTTGTTTAAATGATACAGTTTTTTTAGGTATAACAGTGGACTCGAAATTACAATGGGGGCCCCATATTTCAAAACCAGTAGACTCAGTTCTGCGGCATATGCAATTAGAAGAATTAGGCAATTAACAGATGTGGCAATGGCTAAACTTGTATATTTTAGTTATTTCCATAGCATAATGTCCTATGGCATATTGCTGTGGGGTAAAGCAGCCGATATAAATACTATATTTATTTTACATAAGAGAGCCCTACATTCTATTTATGGTAGTTTGAACCCATCAAGAGAGTCATTATGTCAGTGCTTTAAAGAATCAAATATCCTCACCGTTACTTCACAATACATTTATGAAAATATCATGTATACATGGAAGAACTTAGAGAGTTTTAAAAAACTCAAAGACTGTGCAAGTATAAACTTACGCAATATAAATAAGCTAATTTTACCTAAATGCCGTCTGCACAAAATCAGTAATTCATTCTATGGTAATTGTGTAAGATTTTATAATAAACTGCCAGAATCTGCATTAAATCTGACAGAGATGCATATCAAATCTTATATTAAACAATTTTTATCTACGAAAGCCTAACTGAAAATGTGAATACTATAACTATCAGATGGCAATTGTAAGTAACTTTGACGTGGTCTGGTGTTTTGAGTAGTCATGCTCATTAAAATGTCCAGACTTGTGGCGGCGTGGTGGGCCAGGTCATTGAGCTCCCTAAAATATGGTCGAGCGGAGTAATGGCTGGCTCATCCGTCATACTCGTGAACGGATGCTGCTTGTAGGGACTGGTCTACTCTAATCACTATGACTGATTTCCTCTTATTAATTGTTTAACCAGTTGGTTATATATTCAATATTTTTTCTATTTGAGTATTTAATTGAATTAATGCTAATTGGTGGTTTGTATTCACACACTTAAACTTAAAAATGTAAAGCAATAATAAAATTATTTAAAAGAACAACACGCAAGTTTCTTGCTCGTTCTTCTTGTGATGAGACAGCTTTCCGAAAGAGCGGTGATTAAAAAAATGTAATAACAATTCAAAAGTGCTTCAACGTAAGTCTACTTTGATTTCTACTGTTTTCAAGGGATACTGTGTGGATGACGACCTGACAGTGTACAAGGTCAGCAACGAGGTCTATTGTATCATATATTGACAAGCGCTAGGTTGTTAATATAGGATTCTCCAGTGTACCGACATGTAAGATCTTATGATTAATAAATTAATTTCAGGAATCCAAATTACTTACTTCTTGTAGGAGAGCATTGCATATAAGTTGTAATTGGTCTCTTGTTATGTTTATGGGTAAATCCAATGGACTTCCAGTGTCTTCACCATTGTCTGATTTCAATTTGGCATGAATACAACTAGGTAGGTCTGATTCCATTTTGACTGTATCATATAAAAATATTATAATAAAATTACTGAGTTTAGGTTAACTCATTAATGTTTTTGTTTTTTTGAGTTCAATTTGCCATGCAGGTTGCACAGATCAGAAAGTTTACCACAGAGGCAAAAACAGATTATATATATTTTTATACGTAATTGGAGTATGCACTCAGTTTATAATGCATTGCAGTGTATTTGAATATTATCATATTATTAATATTATAATTAAAATTTGATATTTTAATTAAGTCACTACATACCATACACACATCACTAATCTTCTACATTTTGTATTCCTTCGTAGTAACATCAAAATGTTTTTATAACCTCGGCAAATGGTGGAGCAGTTTATTTTTATTAGTGAATACTACCTACCCTATCCGTATTTATGAGTAATCGATAATAAATAAATTGATAACTATTAAAAATTTAAGGATATTCGAAATTGGCATTTAGCAATAATTTGACAATGGTGTGGTATGGATAATGGCAACATTAATTGGACATCCGTCCGACATCGGCAATTTACTTACGTGTTATGTTTAATGTTTATTTAATTTTTAAAAGGCCATATAATTAGACTAGTATAAAATGAAATTCTTATATCTCATATTTATTTTTTGGACAATAGTTAATTGTGATGAACATACGCATACGTACAAAGAAGGAGAACAAGTGGTGCTCTGGATGAATACCGTAGGACCATATCACAACCGTCAGGAGACATACGCTTACTTTTCTTTGCCGTTTTGTATTGGTACAAAAATTACTATTGGACATTATCATGAAACTTTGTCGGAAGCTTTACAAGGCGTCGAATTGGAATTTAGCGGTCTGGATATTACCTATAAAGATAACGTACCTGCCCAACAATTTTGTGCCATTGAATTGAATGAGCAATCGTATAAAGCATTGGTTTATGCAGTAAAAAATCATTATTGGTATCAAATGTACATAGATGACCTTCCTATATGGGGCATTGTCGGTGAAGTTGATGGTGACCAATATTATATCTGGACCCATAAGAAATTTGACATTGGATACAATGGAAAAAGGATTGTCGAAGTGAATCTTACAGCTGAGAATAAAGAACGCCTGACGCCTGATGCCAAAATCCCATTCACGTATGAAGTTAACTGGAAGAAGAGTAATATTAATTTTGAAGATCGTTTTGATAAATACTTGGACCCAAACTTTTTTCAACATCGTATACACTGGTTTAGTATATTTAACAGTTTCATGATGGTTATATTTTTAGTAGGTCTTGTGTCCATGATTCTCATGAGAACGCTTCGTAAGGATTATGCAAGGTATTCTAAAGATGATGATCTTGATGATTTAGAAAAGGATTTGGGAGATGAATATGGTTGGAAACAAGTGCATGGAGATGTATTCAGGCCTGTGCCACATTTGGCTTGCTTCTCCGCTCTTATTGGAGCTGGATACCAGTTGACAGTTGTTACTCTTGCTGTAATAATATTCACCATATTTGGGGAACTATATACAGAAAGAGGTTCCTTGCTTTCTACTGCAATATTTATTTATGCAGCAACTTCTCCAGTTAATGGATATTTTGGTGGATCTCTGTATGCTAGGATGGGTGGTAAGTTATGGATTAAGCAAATGCTTTTATCTGCCTTTCTGTTACCAGTATTAGTTTGTGGAACTGCATTCTTCATCAACTTCATTGCAATGTATTATCATGCTTCTAGGGCTATTCCGTTTGGTAGTATGATTGCTGTTATGTCAATCTGTACTTTTGTCATTCTGCCTTTGACTTTGGTAGGTACTGTACTTGGTCGTAACTTGGCAGGTCAACCAGACTACCCATGCCGAATCAATGCTGTTCCGAGGCCTATTCCAGAAAAGAAGTGGTTTATGGAGCCATTCATTATAATTATAATGGGAGGCATTTTACCATTTGGCTCTATTTTTATTGAAATGTATTTCATATTTACTTCATTCTGGGCATACAAAATTTATTATGTCTATGGATTTATGCTTCTGGTATTTTTGATTTTGATGATTGTTACCGTCTGTGTAACAATTGTATGCACATATTTCTTGCTTAATGCTGAAGATTACCGTTGGCAATGGACAAGTTTCCTTTCGGCTGGAAGCACAGCCCTTTATGTTTACCTGTATTCTTTCTATTACTTTATATTCAAAACAAAAATGTATGGCCTCTTCCAGACAACTTTCTACTTTGGTTACATGGCCCTTTTCAGTCTAGCACTTGGTATTATTTGTGGTACAGTCGGATATTTGGGCACAAGCATATTTGTTAGAAAAATATATTCTACTGTAAAAATTGATTGAAGAAATTTCATTTACAAGATTGAGAATGTAATATGTAATAATAATGAATTGTTTCTTAGAATAATTTGAATTGTGTTTTAGTTGGCTGTTTACATCAGTTGAATTAAAACTCTGCATATACAATCACAGGTATCAAGAAATACACTATAAGTTGTTGATCTTTAATAAATTCAATTGTAAAATTACATTCCTAATTTACAATGAGATAACAGACACCAGCTAATGAGAATGGTAAAGCATTTAAAACTACATTAGTACCTACTGATTAAATATCAACAATATTTTTAAAAAAGCTACCTAAGTTATTTACAACACAAATTTTTGAAAAATGTAAAAATAATGTGACAATTATTCTAGTGAAACACAGAAAGTGTAAATTGTTTGAATAAAGAATTATCATGAATGAAAATATTTATGTAAACTAAAATGTCCTAATCAGACATTTATGATTGAAAATGAAAATCATAAATAATTTATTACCTATTTATTTATGATTTTGATTATCAATTCATAGAATAATATAATTAGTCAACATTTTATTGATTTGCAACCACTTCATTTTACTGCTGTCATGAATTGTGTAAATATCTAATTATTATAATATATCTAAGTAGGTATTTATTCAATTTTGGTAATTTGTGTGCACCCTTGGTATCATTGGATATATTATATTTGTGACAGTTAAGTCTGTCTTGGTCTGTTTATATATTGAAAGTATTTTTTTTCACATTTCAATTTCATTGTTTAGACTTTATAATTCTTAATTAAATTTGAAACATTACTCTATTGAGAAACTTACATGGGATTTACTTTTGTTGTAATATGGATGCTACGCTAACGCGACTCGATAAAACTTTCGAAGAGGTACTAGAGCCCTACTAAACGTACAGAAATCTTATTGGAGGTATTGTATATTTCTCTTAAAATTGTCTAAGGTATCATAGGGGAGGGGGGGGGGGGGGGGGGGGTAGCGTTGTATGAAACTGTCAGACGCATTTTCGGTCTGAGTCTCACCGACAATACTTACATTGTATTTTTAACAGATTACGTGAAGCGGATTAACATAGGTTTGTCTTCCGGCAGAATTTAAACATCGTATTGGTCCCGGTGTATTCTAAATATATTAACATTAGAAAAATGTAGACTCTTTACTTAAGTATGCATTATGTTTATTTATTTCTTTTATAAAAGTACCTTGGGTACTACACTATTCCATACTGTTTCTTTGTTAATGAAACACTTCTAAATTAGGTGGTGCTGAATGGTATACCTAAAAAAGAATTATAATGCGTCACACTATGTAAAGATCACAGATCGAAACATTTATATATTTATTTGTAAACTTTTTCTACGCCGCAAAAGTAGGTTTTGGTTGGAACTATAATCGGCGGACGAATCGGTATCACGGTGCCTTGACTCAGCAATCCTAGTGCCCGTAGGTCACCTGAATGTTTTTTCAAGTCAGAAAACCTGTTCTATGATTGTTGAAAACCGCGATATTGGATAAAATGGAACCGCAAACCTTTTATTATGCAATGGGTGGCCATGACCCTTTGCTTCAGTAGGTTACCGCGGTTGGTACCGCTCGCGTTAGCATGGCCTTCCATCAGATAATTGTTAACGTAAATTCTAGTTTTGTAAATATTAGTATAAGCAAAAGAAATTTTAATAGGTATTTACATAAACTTTCACGAGTTAAATATCATCGATAACTTAATATTTGTACAGAGAAATGACTATGTATGACACCCAGAATAATTATATTGTATTCAATTTAATTTAAAATAAAAAAGATTATTAGATATAAAATTTATACTTGTTTAATTATACACCATCTATACTAATTTGAAGAGAGAGAGAGAGAGAGAGCAAATTGTCTATGGGAAATGTGAAAATATTTGAAACATATATACTTACTTCAGATGGAGATAGACTACATTTAATATACTGCTAAATGAGGGAAATTCAGGAACAGGTAGTAAGAATATTAAATCACTACAATTTTATATGGCGAATTCTATGAAATACAGGCTGATAACGAAAACTAAGAAAAACAGTAATGATTAAAGATTTTATTAATTAATAATGTGTAATCCTGTTACTCATTAAATCTAATATTGTGTAATAGAGTGGTCCGTTACATTTTTGCTGTCTGTAAGAGATTGCTTATAGCAATAAGCGCCTTTTATAATAAATACACTTTTAACGTACTTTTTTGTTTATTTGCTGACTGCGCGTAATAAAGAGTTATTATTTACTATTTTTAAGCATCCGAACCTGTTGTTGGTTCTTTCTAAAAATTCGATCAGTAACAGTATACTTGCTTCATTTACATTGGTGTTATATTATTTATGCTTCACCATCCACAAAAGTCTCGACGTCCACCGCTGCTTTTTTAGATTTCTTTCCGCCTGGAGATTTGGCATTGAACGCCTGAGCCGTTCTTTTCCTCAATGCGTCTATATCTTCATTCTCGTCGGCTTGGTCTGCCCACTCTAACACTAATCTCCTACCGTAGAGATGAGTAGATTGACATAACGCTTCGAATGCGCTCTAAAACATCAAATTTACACGTCATTACTTAAAACTTGATTTTAATAATAAATTATAGTGAAGTGAAAATTAATGATACTATGAATGCTGGTAGCTTAGCGGAACTCAATGTAAAATAATTTAATTATCTTTAAATAGTGTTCATCTGGGACACTATTTACCTTGAACGATTTCTATAAAATTTTTACTACGTTATACCCGTTATTTGTCCATCTTACCTCACTATATAAATATATTAGTCGAATCGTGAGGACGCAAGAGTTACTAAAGTAAAATTTATTTGACAGAAATTACTTATTGCTTGCATTCACATACCTTGGCATCTGCTTTAGAGTAGTAATCTACAAAAGCAAAACCTCTATGTTGATCTGAACCAGGTGACAGTTTTTTCGGTAGTCTCAGTGTTTTTATCTCGCCGAATGCCCTGTAACGATTCAATAAATAATAAATTTTAGTCAGTAGATATGTATGACTATCATACGCTAGAATAGATTGTCGCGAGATTAAAGAAGTTGTAAAATTAAAATCAGATTAAGTTTTTTATTAATTTATTTATCTACACAGGGAAATCTCGCGAGAAGAATTTATACCTTATAAATTGTGTAATGATAATGACGTTATAAGTGGATAGTAAAGTTTTAAAAGAAAACTTTGTTTTATATAGCGCATTTAAATAAAAACTTGTTTTAAAATTGTTGTCTACTTTTTTTAATACACTAATGGAATTGGATATTTTTTTATTAATATGTTGTTGCTGGGATTGTTACACGATGATATCCTAAATACTGGTAAATGAACAGATTACGCACTGATAAAACATCGGCATGTTGGTACGTATTTACAAAAAAAAAATGTGTATTTGTACCAATTGTGTAGTAGATATCTATGTACCTATAACATAAGCTCTCCTTAGCTTGGGAATAGATGAGGCTGAATTGTTGAAACATAAGTTTGCCTCATACTAGTAATTTAATTTAACTGTTGTTGTTTGTTAGATTCGGTAATTGAGCAAATTGTTTAATTTTATGACGGATAAGATTTTAATCTAAAATGAAGTATTTAGAATGCATGATTTCAAAAATGCTATTTTTTTCATTTTTCCGTATTATTTTATGGATGTAATGTGCTATTAATACAATACAAATAATGATTCGTATTTATACTATTCAGATAACTGGAACATGTACATAGTTAATCAGTTTATCAAAAATTAATAAACTGTTATCGCTAGTGGTATACCTACTCATACCTAATTGAAAACGCGGAACTAGATATTGGACGGTTAGCGCATAGGTATAGGGACGTATTTTGTTTGTAGTCCAATTTGAGAATAAAAATTTTCCAATACCTCACCAGGCCATCTTGTTCTTCAAAATTTTAGAACCAACATTTTTTATAGCATAATGATGGCAAATAAGCTTTGTAATTACCATAATCTATAGTTTGTAACGGGTCCACGGAGTAGTAGTGCGCGTGCCCATCCAAAAAAACATTAATAAATCCTTTTGAAAAAATAATATATTGTATCTGGTATATAATATTATAACATAACATATTAAATATAACTCGAGAGGAAAATCCTCTGAAATTGCATAGTCCAACTTAAATTCTCGATGTCGATGGACCTTCAAAAAAATTTCCTATTCCACTGTTTATTATTATATTAAGAGACAAAACTGTTCGCTTTTTTTTAAGAGCCTGCAATTCGTCGGTCCTACCATATGTAATATTATATTATTTGTGGTCATACTATATCATTATATATGTTTACTTATATTATAAGCGATTCCACTAGTGTATCTACCGTTTGTAAGCTACCAGATGATGTCTAGTCTAGAGTAAGCCTGTAGCAGAGACATGTGACTAAATCTTTCATAGTATAAATAAAAAGTCGCCGCCACTGTCCGTTTGCTTAAGTATATCTTTTTAATTACGCAAAGATTTTAGTGTAGTTAATAAGCCATAGATAGGGTAATTAAAGAGGGACATTTTATGCTAAGGTTAATACATGCATGTTATAGTATAAAATAAACTGAGAAATTTAGAGAATTGTAATGCATCCGTCCTGTAAGGATGGGTTAATCACATCATTTAGTTGTACTAATTAGGAACTTCTAATAACAATCAATTTCTTCTAAAATTAATTGAAACAATTACTACAACGATTACTGATATTGTTATTGTTCATAGCGGAGAAGGAAGGAATTTAATCATGGTGAGTTCATCATAATTTTCATCTTTCTTTCTTTAGTGCTGTGTATATCAACTGAATGTTATTTAGAAAAAAATATAAAACTAATTGTAAGATAACAGTTAACTGTTAAAAGATAAAAGGGATAATAAATACGACCGTACAATATTTTAGAGTGACGTACAAAATAAAATTTGAACGAAAATTCTAGACAATCTCAAAAGTCGAGTAAGACCTCGGGAATATAATACGCACCTGAATATTTCATGGAGTTCATTCCTGTTAGCTTGAAATGGTACATTTCGAACAAGTAGCTTTGTACCATTTTGTATCGTTGCTTTATTAGTCTTTTTGGATGTTTTGTCTTCGATCCTTAAAACAAATTTATCACTTAATTTGGATTACAATTATGACTAATGTAAGTGAGTGGAGATTATTTTTATTACGTGTTTAAGATATTATATGGGACCAAAATGTATTAAACTATCATTTGCTAAATATAATTAACGAATTTTACAATACATTGGCATTAAAAGTATTAAAGCAGTGCTTTATTTGATGACGGATCTGGGATCTGACAATAGAATTGATATCAAGGAACAATGAAATCAACATTTACAATTATATACTTAGATATAATTCCAAAATAATATAGTAACTAGATATTACTATACATACGTGTTTCCTCTCTCTGAACGCTTCAATTCCAACGTTTTACCGTCTAGTGTAGAATGCTGTAGTAATTTTAATGCCTCGTTTAAATCCTGTTGCTTATAAAATTGAACGAAACCATATCCCATTGATAATAATTGTCCTGGATGTTTAGGATCCTTTTTTTTAGCAATTGTGATGCTATGAATTTTTCCACATTCCGAGAAATGCTGTAGAAAAAAATAATATTATTACGAAAATAGAACTAATTAATTATAATTTTACTAGATAATCTAGCGAAATTATGCAATTCTTAAAGTAATAATAAATATTCTATTTATTATGCAACAAAAAATATTGTGGGCGATAGAATGAATCGTAATCGTAAACGAAGTACGTGTCATATTAATCAAGCAATGGATAAAAAATGGTAAATTCTCTAATATAGGTACAACATGTAACAAGGCAAAAGTGACAATTCTAAAAACTACAAAGAAAATACTTTCAATATTGGTACAATAATAAATATATATAAAAATGAGCAAATAATTTGTAATTCCCATCCTATTTTTCAAGTCCAACTTGGGAGGCAAGAAGGATGATGATCAAACAAAATAAAACAAAATTTAATTAAAATACTTTTCAGTGGTTTTGGACTTAATCCTGGACAAAATTGTTTAGTAGCTAATTACATAATGTAGAAATGGTATAATTATACCAACCGATTTCAAAGTATCTTCAGTAGTCTTAAAGTTCAAATTTTTAATAAACAATGTAGTATTTATTTCTGGCTCTGGTGTATTATCGATAGTCTCATGAGTCTTAACTTCATCTTTCATTGGTTGACTCTGCTTGCTGTGTTTACTTTCTACAGTTTTTTGTGACTTATCGTCTGGTTTGCTTGTAGTAACATTATCTATAACACTTGGTTCCGTACTAGTATCAGGTAAATTCGATTCAGCTTGTTTTTTAGGTTTAACAAATACATTTTCCGGCGCCCATTCCAAATATAAAGGTGCACTTTTGAATTGTGAATACGCTAATTTACTAAACGCCTTTTTGGCTTCAAATGGTTCAACAAAATCTACTAATGCGGTAATGCCATGCTTTGGAATTAAAAATCGTGATATGTGACCATGTTTCTCAAATAATTCTTTCAATTCGTCTTTATCTGTATTGGCCGGTAAGTTTTTCACTATAATACAAGTTTTTGATCTTCTTTTCGCAGGCTGAAAGTATTATATTCATGTTACATTTCGGTAATTTTTGTCAGATTTAGTCGACCCTATTTATTTTCATTATCGTCGCTTACAAAAGAAATAACGATACAGATGAATATTTTTACAAATTTATATCGAAAATATTAAAAAGTAAAAATAGATTTGAAAATATTAAATCTTCAATACCTATTATGACTTTTAAATACATCAATTTGATATCTATCATATCAGCAAGTCTAAATAATGAACATAATACCTTGTTGAAAACTTCTAAATACACTCCATTAGTTTCGAGAAAGTTCCTTGTTTCTGCAACTAATTGTGTTTCTCCTAATGCTAATCTTACTGCAGCACTGGTATCTGAAAAAAAAATTGTAAATTATTTTGACTAATTTAACTTCTGACTTCTTGTGATGAGACAGATTTCCGAACGAGTGGTAGATAAAAAAAAAATTGTTGACTATTCAAAAGTGCTTAAATTAAGTTTATTTGAATAAATATTTTTCTATTCTATTCTATTCTATTAATATATTCTATTTTCTTGTGTTTATTAGATATAATAATAAGATAATAAGTGTGGAAAATGCATTATTGAATAAAATAATATTTAAAGCACAATTAATATTCAAATTATTCTAGAATAATACTGCTAACAATAGTTTTTTGTGATTTGAAACAGTATTATTCTAGAATAATTTGAATAAAACATTCAGTTGAAATTATCAAATTAGAGTAATGTTAAAAGTTAAAAAATTAATAATAATAATCTTATTGACAAATACATTGGTGCAAATATTCACAATCCCTGATGAAACAGTTAATCCTTTCTCAAATGCTAACATTACAGAACAACTACAATGTGAAAAGAAACCCATAAAATTCTTATGGGTTTCCTTTCACATTGTTTACAATTATTGGATTTGTTTGGTCGAAATGAACATTTTAAATTTTTTATCTATTACATATTCTTTTAGTAATGAAAGTCGTAAATGCAAGGTCACGCGTATATTTTGTAAACGCAGGTAAATGCTGTTATAAATCAATTGCACATAGTTGATGTTAGTTTACAAGATGTCTTACTTTTATTATTATCATTTAATAATTGTTCCTTGCTAGTGTTGTAATTGGCAGCTATCACGTCCGCAACCGCGTTTACACCCAAGAACAGGACGTTCCAGTTGTGCGATGACTTAGCCTGCGCTTTTAGTTTCTTTGCTTTCTTTTCCTTGAATGATAAACCTTCTGAAATAAGTAAATATCTTTTATCATTTGTTGTTATGTGTGGTCAACACAAAATTTTGTTTTAGTCTTATAATTTACTTAGTTTAAAATATTTCGTAATATTTAATGTATCAGGGTGGGAAAATCTTACAAATATTTATCCATCCATCCATCCATCCATCTATCCATCCTTCCAGCTGTGACAAAGATGGGGGAGGGGTATATCATGAAAATCTTGTGACTATTTTATCAATTGCTCCTGGTTTCTAATAAAATTTTGTTTTTTTCCATCACTTCGGTGTATTCTGTGACTACTCAAAAACATTTGATTGCGTTGTACATGAAACACTCTTACTCAAATTAGAACATTACGGTATTAGATATGAAGCACTATGCATGATGAAGTCCTATCTAAATAATAGAATGCAAGTTGTTGAAATAAATGGTGTAAAGTCTGAGGGAACTAGTATTAAAATGGGTGTTCCTCAGGGCTCTATTCAAGGTCCTTTCTTATTTTTAGTTTACATAAACGATCTTCCTTATATGGTAGAAAAGATAGCTGACATAGTTCTGTTTGCTGATGATACTTCATTAGTATTCAAAGTCAATCGACATATTGATGAGATGGACGAAGTAAACGGTTCTCTCTCTTATGTTTTAAAATGGTTTACGGCTAATAATATGCTACTAAATGCAAATAAAACTAAACGTATCAAATTTACTCTCCCCAATGTAAGGCTGGTAGATTCAAAAATCGTATTGGACAATAAATCTATTAATTTTGTTGACGATACTGTATTTCTAGGTATCACATTAGATTCCAAGTTGCAATGGGGTGCTCATATTACTAAATTGGCGAGTCGACTTAGTTCTGCCGCTTATGCGGTAAGAAGAATTAAACAATTAACAGACGTGGCAACGACTAAACTTGTCTATTTTAGCTATTTCCATAGCATTATGTCGTATGGAATTTGTTATGGGGCAAAGCAGCTGATATAAATACAATATTTACTTTACAAAAGAGGGCCATTCGCTCCATTTATGGTATGGGTTCCAGGGAGTCATAGCGAGAGTGTTTTAAGGAATCAAATATCCTCACCGTTGATTCTCTATACATTTATGAAAATATCATCTATGCCAGAAGGAATATAGACAGTTTCAAAAGAGTTAGTGATTGCACTAATAAAAGCTTACGTAACAATAACAAACTGATTATACCTAAATGTCGTTTGGCTAAAGTTAGTAATTCGTTTTATGGTAATTGCAAGGTTTTACAATAAAATACCAGTCTTATAAATCTGCCAGAAAAAAGATTTAAATGTCAAATAAAACAGTTCCTTTGCAAAATAGCTTACTATAAAATTTAAGAATTCGTTAACGATAATAATGTTTTTATAGAAAAACTTTAAATCTATAGCACTGATAATATTATCTGATTACATTAATAATGAGTGCGTAGCGACTTCTATGTTGATTATCGCATGCCTCTTACTTGTTATACTGTAATTATTTATATAAAAAAACATCCATTAAAAAGAGTAACACACAAGTTTCTTGCTCATTCTTCTTGTGATGAATCTGCATTCCGAATGAGTGGTAGAATCAAAATATGACTATTCAAAAGTGCTTGAAATGAGTTTATTTGAATAAAGATTATTTCTATTTCTACTTCAATCAATGGAAATTCCAGTCCCTTGAACTAGGTATCCTGTGTAGGCAATTTTCTATCAGAAATTGAACCATCTTTTATTTAGTAAAATATTAATAATTATATCATATAATTTAAATATTAATAATTATAAGACATACCATCATCACTTTCATTCTCCAATTTTTCAGTTTTAGCAGGTAATAGGTGCAACATTCTGCCACAAAAACTAGTCCCATCCAATTCTGTGTATGCTTTGACAGCATGTTCGGGTATCATGAATGTCACGGTTGCAAATCCTTTAGGCTGACGCAGTACCGGGTCTATGGGCATGTTCACTTCAGTCAGTGGACCTGGCAAACAATAATATAATGTATTATAAAGCAGTAATGGCACCCACGAAATTAGAATCAAAACATTACAAATTATAAGCTTCATGACAAACAAAACAATAAATAGTTGTAGGCAAACTCACCATATTTCTCAAACAGATCGGTCACCTCCTGTTCAGATACCACATAAGCAAGGTTACGGACAAAAATCCTCCCACTCTCACCAATGCTTTCTCCATTATTTTGTTGCTACAAGTTAAAATATTGATGCTGTAATGCAGTCTCTTAATTGACATAATATTAATTATTTATGATGATGACAATGATGATGATGATGACGATTTTAAATGGGAATTTCCTTGTTGACGTAAGGTGAATATATATATAACAACTAACTGTGTGCCACACAATGTTACCCACAGTCGTAATTTTAATGTAGTGGGGCCATCCTGAGCAACAAATCACCAAAATATTATGCTAACAAAAATTATGATAAGCATACACAATTAAAATAAATACCTCTTGCTTTTTCTTTTTAAATGCTTCTTCTTCTTCCTCTGATGCTTTTTTAGCTTTATCTTCAAACTTATGTACATGTAAACGATGTTTTCCTAAAACAATAATTATTTCATCCAGTTGTTAACAGTATACTGATATATAAGGCTGTGCAGTATGCATAACTAATTGCTTTAAATAATATATTCCAAGATTGTTCACTAAATATAGAACTAAATATCATTCATACAAGATGTAAATAAAAGAACTGTTAATAATATATTAATTGAAATATAAGACAAATCATACCCAGAAAGAGTTTATCTTTATTAAGAGCTTTTTTCAATTCTGCTTCTGTTCTAAAACCAACATAACAGAACCCAGCCATTTTTTTTTCTTTGCCAAAAGGTAATCTTATTGAGTATGGTACTAGAGGTTTGAAGAACTCCTTTATATCTTTTTTCTTGCATTTGAATGGTAGACCAGTTATCTAAATAAAAACAGAAGAATATATATATATTGCATATAAAATATAGAATACATATATCATTTCAAAATTTCATTAAAGAAAATATGTAGTCCTTTTCAACTTACTTTTATGTGAAATAATGGTCTATTTCTAATTTTTTTAGGGGTCTGGACATCTGGCTCTTGTGCATCTTGATCTGTGTTTTGTACTTTTTTCATGAGTAATTTCATATACTGCAAAAGAAAATTGTTGTCTTTTGAAAGTATATTTTTATTTATTTGTATGGCTTTAAAACAGCTTGTTAATATACTAGATATAATCACACTTGTTTCCATACTATTTTATTCACAAACTTTCAAACCAACATAATAGACTAATCAAAGAATTAAAAAATGCAGTATAGTCCTAGAATATTTTAGTTTTTTTTTCTTCAGTTTATAAGTACATTCATGACAAAAATTTTAGTGCTAAATAAGCAACAATGTTTGTTTTAATTGCTGTGAATTTAGCTTAGTTTGAGCCAATTTCAAGCTTAAATTAAAATTATTGTTGTTTTATAGTCATCTATATTTGGTATAGGTGATAGTTATACATCTAATGCAGATGAACAGTACATAAAAAATACTGTATTTTTATTTTATTTTATGTAATATTTTTACCAAATCTGTACTAATTATGAATGTCTTCTATTGGCTAAAAACTTATTTAGTCTTATTAGAGTTTAGAGAAAATATGTACCCACTGGTGTTGATATAATTTAATATATGTTTAACAAACCTCTAAATCACTAATGTTTTTATTTGCATTTTTTTCTTCAATTTTAGTAATTTTATTATTTAGTTCTGCTTTAGCTTCTGTATTCTCATTTGTGGTTGTTTTATCACCTTCCTCTTCAACTCCACTGTCCTCATCTTCACTTCTAGCAACTTTTTGGTATGTTTCTTTTAACCAAGCTGTTTTGTCATTGGTATGTGCATCAATAAACTCAGCAAATAGAGGGTCATCTTTATGCTGTGGAAACAAGTACATTATTATTACAAAGATGTGATCAATAAGTATAATATAAGTATTCAGAATTATGTTATAAATTTTTTAAATTTATTTTTGTAAAAAGTACAAATAAAATAAAATAACTGTTAACATAAATAAGCAATAGCAATACATAAATTACAATGTCGATTTGAATTTGCTCAAGAATTAATTAATTACAATAATAGTTTTTACAGTAATTCACAAGATACTCCATAGTGTGTAGATGTTCATGCATTTTTATTACTTCCAAGTTACTTTTCGTATATAATTATGTATTTAAAAGAATATTATAATAAAATTAATGAAAATTTAACTAAAAATAATTTTCAATAAACCTTCATAAATACAGATATTATATATACAACTAGAGACTGGATTATATGCAACATAAAAAGCTTGTTATATGCATGACAAATGCTTGAAATATGCACAAAATTGGCAGCTTATGCAAAATTAAATGATTAATTTTAGGAATCCCAAAAAACTAAATAGAAAAGTATTTTTTTTATTTCAAAATCAGCATAAAATTAATAAATAACTTTTTGATAGGCATAGCTTTTAATAGGATAGGCTTAGGCATAGGATAATAGGTACAGTAACGCTATATGATATTTAATTTTATTATCATAACTGTAAAAAAAAACATGCGCGCACCTATTGACTGCATTCCGAAATGCAGTAAAAAGTCACAAGTAAATTTGGTCGTATTTCGGAATGTAGGGTGAGTGAAAAATATTGTAAATGTACTGATAATATGCATCCTTTGAGAAAATATGCAAATGCATATAATCCGGTCTCTATATATAACTATATAAAAAATATTCATTTATAGGTTGCAGGTTTGCCTAGATGCATTAAAATGAAAAGAATAATGACCTCAAACCAAATAATAAAATATTTAAGCTTATAGAAGCAAAATATAAATTTCTTTCTTATGCTTCAAGTAGTGCAAACAATATTAAGTATACATATAATTTATCCTTTCAAACCTTTTTAAGTAATTCTTTAATTTTATTCTTATTTTTTTCTACTTTCTTATTTTTCTTTTCTTCAGATTGGTGTTGAAATTCATCTTTATGTAATTTTTTGTATGCAGTGCTGTCCGGTGCATATTTACTCCATGCTCGTGGTTTTCTTTCATCTCCTAAATTTGCACAAACTTGTATGTCTATTTTCATGGAATTAATGCATGTACCATTAAAATAGTCCAAAGCTGCTGTTGCTTGCTGTTCATTTCGGTAACCAATGAAAGCAAAGTTTCTGAATTTGCCATTTTTAGTATATTTTAACTGAATATCAGTAACTTCTCCTTTTTCGCTGAAAATTTCTTTAAGCCTATCTGAGGTTACCTAGAAATACAAATATTAGTCAAGCAAAATAAGTTTAACAAATAAACTGAATTATCAAATTGAATATTGATCAGTATTTGTCAGGTCAATAGTTATAATAAGAATAGATTTTGTATAGTATTTACCTTATTGGGCAAATTTTTCACTATAAGACGTGACATTGAAACTTAATAAATGATATAAAATATATTTATATTATTTAGAACATACAAAATACACGTGCAATTGACATAAACGCAGCTGTTGATCCTTTGTCTTTGACAGTTTTCAGTACAGATCAACAACTTACAAAGATTACCGATGACAGACACTGGCTTATCATACTGCCCTTTATGTTTAGAATTAAGATAATATAAAAAAATATATTACAAATATACAATCTACTGTATTGTGGGGCTTTTCCTTCTGGCTTAATAAATTAAAAGACATCGTGAGGTTTTTGGCTCCGGCGATTTTAATGGGATTGTTATGTCAGCCAAGTACTTAAGTTATAGTTTGGACTTAAGTCAATTCAAATGTCAAAATTGAAAAGTACTCTGAGCATTAATGTAAATATTTATTTATTTAGAATATATAATTTATTTTAACCTAGTATCTTATTTTTATTAAGTTTGTGAATTTTGTTTTACTATGCGTTAAAGTGAAATAAATCTAATAGTATAAAAATAATAATTGATGCAGGAAAGTGGGATGATAATTAGTGAAAATGTCGACAGCTATGACTTTTGGTCAAAAACAGTTTATTCCAACTCCACCGGACAAAGGCAGTTTTCCACTGGATCACGAAGGGTTGTGTAAGAAGACAATGACAAAATACATGAAGTGTTTACTCAGTAACAATGGTAATAATTCTTTATGTCGTGACGAGGCTAAAGAGTATTTAGCATGCAGAATGGAAAATAACCTAATGCTTAAAGAGGATTTTTCAAAACTGGGTTTTAAAGACATAGAATCAAACCTAAAGAAATGATGTTACCAATGCTACTTATTGACCATAGATTTATATTTGTAATAGATAGATGTTGTTACCAATAACAAATAAAATAGTGTAAATAAGTGTTAATTTAGTTTGATTGTATGACATAGTTATTAGTACCTACCAATTTATGGAATATATACGGACCTAATACAATATTAGTTCAATAATAAGATAATTCTTCCTTATATTTATACTTATAATATTTTAAAAAGCTTGAATGCAATTGATCTTCCTTACTATTAAGTCAACCAGAGTTACCAGCAAAGAGTACAATTTTGTTGTATTGTTCAGATATTGCTAAGGAAATATAATAATATATATATGAATATATATATTGGTAAGGAAATATTTGCCATAATAAAAAAAATATTGATTTATATGTAATCTGCATGATACATATTTATGCTTGCATGTATATGTAGACATATCCATAACATCCCTGGTAAACACAGATGGCGTACTCAATAGATTGATTACATGAGTTTTTATTTAATGACTCTACAGTTATATTTAGAACTCAAGAACTGGCATAAAAAGCAGAGTTTAAAATTTTCAAACTATTTTACCATCACTATTTTATAAGTGTTCTATATATGCAAAGCCATAATATAATAATGCTTCATCAATCATTCATAATTATAGTAAATGTATTCTTTCACATGGATCTTTATACCTGTATATAATCTTTTCAAAGAAAGTAAATATATCTATTCAAATATATTATCTTCTGTAAGAAACCTAAACTATTTGGGATATCAAAATCATAGGAGAGGTAATTTTTTATATTATATTCTGTGACTGATGGACAGAAAAGTAGTACCAATTAGGTTTACCTTTTTGGATCATAGCCTTGTTAACCACACAAATCAATCTTAAAAATTTATATGACAATATGAAGAATAAAAAAAAACACTAATTCCACAGAAAGTTCTTTATTTGTTTTTATTTCCTTAAATAAAAATTTATATTATTTAGTTGCTTACCCATAATTACAAATATTCACTGAGTGGTTATTTTAAAGATTACAAATACAAAAAACTTTGATTTATTATATTTTTATTGCCAATGAGTTATGGCAGTTTTATAAGTAAATATCACAGTTATTATTTAATCGTTTGTGACCGACAAAATTGTAAAAAAGCTAATGTATTAATATTTTATAATTACTAAAATAATGAGTGACTTGATTGGTTTATACTGATTTCTTGTACATAATGCAAGTCACTCGGGATAATATACCTACTTAGTACCTAAATTTAATGCATACTGATACAAATATTATTCATATCATTATATATAAGTGCTTATTTTAAATAAAACTGCTGATTGCACAAGAACATACATAGTATTTGCATATGGGTATCAAACGCTCTTATATAAATAGGCAATAGATACAATAGTAATTAATTTGTGGTTGTTGTAAGACATTTACTGCAACAACCAACCAACAGTAAATTATAAAAATATCGAAAGAGAATTTATTCTGTACAATAACTAACTATAGTAAGCACCATTATTCATCCTACAAAACTTCATTAGAATTCTAACATCCCATTTCCTTGTTGGCAACACAATTTAACTTTCATATCCCACATTGAAGTAGATACTTACCCACTTACCTAACTCGCATTTTCACAATATATTTATAAGGCCATATTGTTTTTATAAGGTTAACATTTTCTATCATAGACAGTTAAATATTTTGGTACAGAATGAGGATTTCTTTATATCATTATTAAAGAACCTATTCTGAGTTTGAAGTCTCCGTGGAAAAAATATATAACTACTTGTGTGCACCTGATATCCTATTTGACTTTTTAGAATGATTAGGAAATTTATAGTAGACATTTTTTTTCTTTTGTCTTGACAGTAAATACGAAATAGTAACACAATTTGCAGATCACTTATGTATAAAAGGCACAACTAATACAGCAGCTGCATACTAAGTATAACTGATAGGTCCTATTTAACTATTCCTATGTTGTAATTTTATAATTATTATATGATCTTAGTCCTTACTACGTTACTTAGCATTATTTACTATCATCAGCAGTAGATAAATAATACCTACTTATGCTCTACCATAGTATTTTAATGATAATCTAATATGATGGTTTTATTCTAATATTCATATATGATAAGTATCAATTTTCATTGGTAGCTAATATATATATTTTCATATAGTAATTCAATATCTCATACAATTAAACAATATTTTATGATTATAAAATTCATCAAATAATATTTTTTTAAATTTAGTAGCGACATAATATGTTGATTATAAGATTTCTTAAAGTTAATTCTCCGATTATGTTAAGACAACTGTAAGTTAAGTAAAAGCTAGTTTGAGATGTTGAAATAAACAGGTTACAGGGGTGTATCTATTTGTATCGTAGTAAATTATGAAAATGGAAACTTGTTCAGGAAATTACGTTGTAGTTACGGTTTGAACTAATATTATTTTGTAAAAATTGTTAACAGTTGTGTAGCGAATCTAAGAAAATGTTTGCAATTTTAACTCATCAATGTACTCATATTCAGTGACACGCGTCTCTATTATAGGGTACTGTCTTGACTGGATAAATATTTTGTCTGCAGTGGTTAAAAAAATCTATATACCCAAACGGTATTATATAGTCACATAGGTATTATGTTTCAGTTGAGATAAACTCGACGATATTTTAATACTTGCCAGTACTTGCCACATTGCATAGCGGTTCACCTTGATGACAATGCGGCAAAACATTAAGGAACATTTTATCATGTCCAGTTTACGGTAATTGTTACTGGAATTAAATTGACAATGTCAATTTCCTTAGGTAAGTTTCGTATATTTTTTTTACTCAACAAACTATGTATAAGATAATTTAAAAAATCTATGGACATTTTAGTGAATTTGCTAGATCGGAGATATGCATGCAAGGTTTCATTTTCAGTGTATTACTATGTCCTGAAAGTTAAGTTTCGTATAAATCGCTACTAAATATCTAAGTAGGTACCGTAGTAGTAATAGTAAATAATAATATCTAGTTACCTACTGTTACGTTATAAAAATATATATTTGCTGTTCAAATGAGGTTAGGGATACTACAAAAACCTCTTTGATTCTCTTTTAAAAATCCTTTTCATTTCATCATACTGTTAAAATATATTTGTCTATACCTCTACGAAACTACCAGATTATACCAGTTCAAGTCACAAGCTGAAGCCACATTAGTCAGTTGATGACCTCTATAACCTTTTAATACATTACATATATCTAATTTTATTTATAGTTTATATACTATATATCCCAATATATTACAATTACAGATTATATGTACCTCTTTTAACCAGCATAAGAGATAGTTACCTATCAATTTAACACTACGTTTTTCAAATTATGATAATAATATCACACAATTATGATATTAAATTAGATTAATATATTTATTAGTCAAGGCATTGTAGATATCTTTGTGTAATATATCTGAGTTTTATTTGTAATGGTAATGATTTTCGTCGAAGACGAATTATTTAACATGTTTATAAAAATGCTACAGAAAGTCGTAGTGATTAGTAACTATTAAATCTATAATGAAAGAATTTAAACGGTATGTCACCTATTGTGAAAAATACATATATTACATATTAAGAAGATTAATTGAAAAATGCACACATTAAATATACTGACATCGACGGACAATACAAACTGTACAAAAGCTAAATGAATGGTGTTATATACCTTACAAGTCATTAACAAACCAAACACGCGATCATATTGAGATCAAAATGTACATAAACATCTCAAACAAATATTAAAATGCATCATCACTAGAATAAAATTATTCTATTAAGTTTACATAAATTTATATATTACAATTTAATACTAAAATAGGCAGTGCATTATTTGCGCAATAGTTACCTATTCTGTAATTCTAAACCATATCAATAGTAGCGATATGTAGTTAGGTACAACATGTTGCACACATTTTAACTAGCTAATAAATGTGTGAATTTAACCGAACAACTTAGGACTATCAAAAGTGGCACTCAATTATTTAATATTATAGCAGTCATATACAGGACAAAACAGTAGATATATTACTGTTGTGTATTATTTAATGCAACGATATACTTTTTATTTTCTGAATTTTAGTGCCAGACAAAGTCGCAAGGAAAATGTTTTAAAATAGAATACGACTACACTTTAGTTCAGGCATTGTCCTTCTATCTAAATCAGTAGGTCCTAGCTTCCCGTCTCCAAACAATAAGACGTCGTATGCGCCATCTCGTGCTATATCATGCTGTTGCCAGTATCGTCAACATAGTTTCTGACACAATACGATTATCACATAAAAGGTATATAATATGTTTTCTTTAACTCGTAATGTTAGGTAATTAATTACAAAACATATCTAACTGGGAACCATTTCATTGAACTATATCATAAAGAAAATATACCTTGTGAGTATAATGGCAACAGACGACAATAACGGTTGGAATTTACTGATATTTATTGATAATGGCGCAGAACTAGGTGATCGCATAGTGGAGCCGGGTGCGGGCAGATATCGCTCTTGCTCCCGCCGTGCGCTTCGTTCTGAAGGACAATTCATCCAGTGTGGCCCTGAAGGTTTTTGTCTCTCGTGTTCCACTTGCATATGTAGGTCGTTGAACTTCCAATAACCTTTGCCTTTGAAGAAGTAAGTTTTACCTGTTGATAGAAGATGTCATTATTTGAAAATTGTATTAGCGAGTAGTTGTTAATGAATAACTTTTATCAAAACTTATGTTAAATAACCCATATGGTTCAGAAGTCCATAGTGTACGTTTACAGTTTAATTTCAGATGGACCGTATATGTTCCTACTTGATTGCCACTACCGTGGTGGCAAGTACAATGTGTATAAACAATTCTATTTTCAATATTTCCTTCGTAGTTATAGATTGTGGAAGTGATGTTTCAAGTGGAATTGATTTATTTGACACAGTTTCCAAATAGTTTTAAGTATGATATTTAAGATTGTTCAGTCAAAGAGTGTTCATAAAATCTCCAATGCTTTGAAGTTATTTCTTTGACACTAAAAAAAATATCCATAAGATATAAAAAAACGTTATTTACCATCTTTCCATTGAAATACGCTGTCAATATTGTATCCAACGCCATACCACATAGACATATCACGAGGGTAGTCAGGTTCAACGAGACCTACTTCTTCATCATATCTGTAATATAATGTGTTCCATTAGCAATATAAGGTGCACTCCGCCATGAAAGTTGAGCAGTTAAAAATTAATATTTTGTATTGATATGAATATGTAATGCGAAGAAAGTGTTTTAACGATGGTATTAAATAAGAAGAAATAAAAGTTAAAAAAACAGATGGATTGTGTGAAAGATGATATGACGAGAAAAGGATTAAATACAGAGTTTACTGCGAACAGAGAAATGAAAGGTTTAAACATATTACGCTGATCGCAAGTGATTCGAGATTAGAAAAGAAAGGTAACGTTCTCCGCCGTGGGTCCTCATAGTGCGTTCGCTCGAACTTAATGTTTTAGGTCCGATACCAATGTAAATAGAGGTTCAAGGTTCATGATTATCTACTACGATATAAAATCACATCTTAGTGCTGCATTGTTGGAAAGAAAATATTACGGGGACGAAGTTACTGGATTTGTTAGTAACCAATAAAAGTATTAAAACTTACTTCCAATACATAGACTCACTGAAAAAGTAAGTTTGGCTATTATGTCCCCACACCATAGCTGCGTCCAACTTTTCTAAACCTGCTGGTAATCCAAGTTCACTCAGTGGTTTTGGATATCCAGGCAATAAGTTTTGTATGTCAAACAAGTAAAGTTCTTTTCCTAAAAAAATAATTAAAATTAATTGTTAAATACTGAAAACTATAATTTATTACATTAATATCCTTCGCCAATTTTCACAGTGTCATTGTGTCCCAAGTCGCCAAGAGCTTAAATTATGTGTACTAAACAACTGATACAAATATTAAAATACATTTTTTTTGTAAATACATACATAATATTCATAGACAATACGCAAGACATTATTAGATACCTAAAAAAATTAATAGAGGCTTCGGGAAGAATAGACACGACATATACAAAGTTTGCAGGAATGAACTAGCCATGTAACAGTTTTAAAATGCGAACCCGCTAACTTAGCTCGCATGTACAAGTCTCAAATGGTTCATAGAAATTGCAAATTTATCATTTCGAATCCATTACAATTGAGAATTGAGAAATAAAATCATTACATGGTATGCATGTATAGGCTCCGGGTGTAAGTAAATCCAAGATAACGACATAATAACGTTATCGATTATTGCTACGAAACTTGAAATAAAATTTTACAGTGCCAAGAGAAGTTACAAGAATAGGCTAGAAATGGCAGTTTATCGATTTATTACCTATGAAGATTGCGATCATTTTATCTGGCCTCTCGTAAACTGCATCGACATGTGTAAAATTTTTTGGTAATCCTGACCACATTCTCGATATATCCATTGGATATCCGTCATAACGACCCTGTTCTCCTATTCTCCAATGATACTGGAAAGGAAACAATAAATTATAAATGGACATTTAGGTATATAATTTATATTTATTTATTTTTATAATTTTAGTTTAATTCCTGTTACTATAAATAATTTTATAAAGGTCATCAATTAGATAAATGCTACCTGTAATAAACAAATTTTGATTTAGGTACACGATAACTGATTGGCATACTTCTTTGTTATTGTAAACACTTATAAACAAATTAAAAATAGATAATTCAGTTTTTTTTTTAATTTTATTTGTAACTAGTTACCCACCCCGGCTTCGCACGGGTGTACATGTATTATACATATAAATATTCCTCTTTAATTACTCTATCTATTAAAAAAACCGCGTCAAAATACCTTGCGTAGTTTTAAAGATCTAAGCATACATAGGCACAGACAGCGGCAGCGACTTTGTTTTATGCTATGTAAAGATAATGATAGAAAAAATACACGTAAATATTTGCCGAGATATTCACTAATAGAAGTGTTGGTATTGTAAGGGAGGCGAACCCGTACTCGGAAGATGAGGAGGCAGAGTGTTAAATCGTTAGAACAGCAATGTCGTCATAGCATTAAAGAAGAAGAGTTCCTCTCAGCCAAAATCGCGGTAAACGACTACCCTATGACCAGTCACGTTAGCCTGTCACTTTGGCAATGACGAGTTGGAGGTACACCGTCTGGTTTTTAGTGGGTGAATACTTTCCATACATTAAATAAAAGAGGAGAAAAATAAACCACTTACCCTATTTTTGAAAATGAACAGTTCTCCTCGTATAAGTGCCACAGCATCATAATTAGTGTTACACGTGTCCGGTTTGTTAGGCGGTGGAGTAGGTCTAGAAGTTGTTGGTCTCGGAGGATAGTAAGGTCTTCTAGGATAATCATGTCTCGGATCAGTTGGATAATGTGGCCTAGGATACCTTGGGTAGTCAGTGTTTACTTGTGGATAACGGGGACGATAATAATGCGTAGTTGTTTCGGGCCGAGGGTAGTGATTGTTTGTTCTTCTTGGATGTTCTTCTGATGCATTGTAATGGCGACGGTCGGGGTTGTAAGGATGCCGTTCGGGGTTAGTTCTGTCAGGGTAGGTTGGATATTTGTGGCGTGGATATGGTGTATAATCGTTTCTATGGTACGGGTGCCTATTGTGATGGTGGTGCACGTAAGGTCTTTTCGTTGTTGTGGTGGTCGTTGTCGTGGTTGTTGTGGTTGTTGGGGGTGGAGTTTCTATTGGATAATATGGTATTTTCGCCCATGGTTTTCTGACTTTTGGACCTAGAAATAATACATTTTATATATTATTTATATATCTAAATGATTATTTAAAAATTGTATTAATTTTCAATTTACTTACCATACATCTGCTGGATGCCATTACGATCATCCTCGGGAAGTACAAAATTGGGTTGGATGCCTTGGTACCAAGGAAACATAAGTGCTCCTTTGACTGAACTGTGACTTAAGCCCAGGGAATGTCCAAATTCGTGCGCAGCCACAGCGAATAGAGAAGTACCTGAAAATATAATAACTCGATCTTTAAATTATGACTATGTGTTATAATCTATTCTATATTTTTTTGAGAAATAAAATACCTTAAACTCTAAAATCGTGATAAAATGAATAAAGGATTGAAAAGTATTCAGAAGCTTGAAAAAATTGGCCTTTGAATATATCATACTAAAAATGAAAAGCAAATATCATTTTCTTTTTGAAGTTGGTTGAAAATGCTTTCTTATTCATAGCTTAGTAAATAGTATTTAGTAATAAGTACTTAAATGTGGTTTGGGACAAATAAAGGTGAATATTTACATATGACCAAGCCAACACAATTCAGAATGGTTTCGGAAGCGACCGTTGTTCATGTAAATTATCACGTGTGAAACAGAGGAGAGTAATCTGGCGCAGCCTGAGCCGGTCTGCGCTGCGGTTGCTACATCTATTGCATTGCGACCGTGTTTATACCATATATACGTTACTATCCTATCATGCACGAACCTCAGTTTACTGTCAAAATTACAAGAATCATGAATAAAACGTCGAAATTAACAAATTAAATTGCGAATTTTCAAGCACGTCAAGCAACGAATTATAACATATGTATGTATAAAAGTAATAAAATTAATGTCTTCACGACTACAATCACAGATGTGCTAGTATAGGTAGGGTGTTGTGGTGAACGTAACTCAGCATTCTTACATTTCGCCGAGAACATTTAAACATTTAAATATTCAATCGTTAACTGTTGGATTAATTTGCTATGTTATAGGCGTATTTCACTACCAGAGGGCTAGTCATAAATGTAATAAGACACAAATGTTTCATTTATATTACTCCAAAGAGAGACAGTTTGTTGTAATTATCTATATTCTACATTACGTTAAAGTATATAAAATAGTTGTGCCCGCATTAAATTTCAGTATATAAATTTCAATTAAATATATAGCCTATATATTAAATATTAGTAGCCTATATAGTAGTAGCCTGTAAAGTTTTATAAGTTACTACTATATTATTGTAGAGTTTCATAAAAATCCGTTCAGTAGTTCTTGCGTGAAAGAGTAAGAATCATACTTACAAACTTTCGCGTTTATAATATTATTAAGATTATTTATTATTAATATATCTGGAGAAATATATAACATTTATGATAACAATAAAGCTTTACTAAACTTAGACAATATCAATATCTATAATCTGTATAATTATATATCAATCTCACCTTCATCATCATCCTTTGGATGCAACAGCCACAGTTCATCGTCATCGAAGTGCGCGTCGCCGCCTCGTCCTGTACCCGGGAAGAACGCATGTGCTAGAATCAGCCCACGTCCGTCAAACGGATATGAATCGTCATGGTAACCCCTGTGAACAATTACGGTTTTATTAGTTTATCAGATAATATAAATAACTAGCTGTTAGCCGCGACTTCGTTCGCGTGGAATTTATCTTTTTTTATTTTTTTTATCTAAAGTATAAGCAGCCCTAGTACTTCATATAACATCAGCTATCTGAAAGTGAAAGTTCCGTTAGAATCGGTCCAACCGTTTCAAACATTATCTAGAACAAACATACAGAGACAGACACGAAAAAGTAATTTTTTGATATATTATCTGTATATACTTCATAAGCTTATAATTTAACTACTAACTTATATTATAACTTTTTTACAAAATAAAAAAGTTGATACATTTTATTTTCTTATATATATATATAAAAGTCTAAGGTAGAGTAATATTCAGAGAGTATCATGTAATAAGAGTTAGAATATAATTATAGAGCAATACGCGCGAATGTATTTCTGTAATGCGTATAAAATTATTTGTTTTGACTATATTATTATTATTTGTATATAATTATAGAGCAATGCGCGCGAATATATTTCTGTTATATAAAATATAAAATTATTTGTTTGTTTGAAAATTACTAATCCCACTGTAAAAACTTAAATATATTAATCGTGTGTACACTAAATAATAATTAAAAGTGTAGAGAAATAGTATTCGACAACTTGATTTAACTTTACCTCGAATAGGTACATCTGTAACAATACCGAAAGTGTAAATATACTTAATTTTTATGGCTTTGATTATATACCACACAAGATTAAATATCCCAGCAAAATGGTCTGCAGAGACTTTGGTTGTTGATAAAAACAGTCGTACTAAAATAATAATATTCATTCCCAACAAACAACAGTTGATGGAGTGGACAGAGCCTGCAGAGCAATCAAACTTGCGTCCCAGGGGTTCGCTGCTCGGCCAGTGCCCACCTAATCATTTTTCGCACCAATAAAACAAAGGAAAGACCTCACCCATGCATATTTTACACAGTATTAGCTGACTGCTGTTGTGTTATTGAGTTACTAGGAAGTTCCTCAATTATTTGTTGTGGTGTTCGTTATTTCCAACACACATATCCTTTTTTTGTTGTATACTTTGATTTGTGTTATATTTGGGATATTTGAAATATTTGATGTATTATTAGTATCTATAGTTATATTTATTAAATTTACTTTAAAGTGTGATTTGTAAAGTTACAGCAACACATACTACCTCTAATGTTAATTAATTAATAAGATTACAATAACACGGTTACTTAAACTAAGTAAACGATTAATTTATATTTATTATACAGATTTTGTTATTCTATTATAATTTTTTTTAATCATGAATAGATAGACGTCACCTCAAATGTTTCTGATCAATACTAAGTCTAGAACTAAAGCTGTTTCTAGCAACTAGTATGAGAATAGCGCCTATTTTCATCTGATATTTGGGTCACCTTAATTGTGCGAGCATCTATCTAGACAGTACCTACTATTTAAATATCTTTCACAAGGCTTGCCAAACTAAGGGTTGACTTGACAGTTCTAGGTAGCTAGAGAATCTATTATGGGTTTAAGGTGGTTTTTGTTAAAATAGTTGCTGGTAATAGCACCCATAAATAGGGTGACGAAAATTTAAATAGGTATTTACGAGTATTTGTAAAAAAAATATAAATTAAATATTTTGACTCTGGTAGAGGGAACACCATTATGTTTGTAAAAAACGATTATGTGTATCCATTTGATAAAATAAGGTATCTATATGTAAATAATAATTATTTACTTCAACTAATTTATTATTAATTCCTTTATGATTTGCTTTAACTTCAAGTAACTGCCTATCTGAGATCAAATAAATATGGATATAATAAATAATACTCTCTAATAAATATAATAGAGACAAAAAGCTTAACAATTTACGTCAATCGTAAATCTGTGAACTGTAATCAACTCGATTCATGTTATAGGATCGAGTATTGTATCTACCTACCTACTTACAATTTGGCACGTATTTCGAATAGGAAAGAAAGCCAATCGCATGAATTTCGTAGCGAAACACTTTGAGTGCTATTTATATAATTCTACAGTCTATAAAATGTCTATTTTTCACAAGTTGTCGAAGTCAGTTAATATTTCGACTACACATCTTTTATTACTGTCACAGTTTATTAAGTAGTAAATCTTGAGTGCATATAATACGGTGCGATTTATTACTTTGTATTTTTAGATATAGTTAGGAATAATTCAATAAGGTAACTTTATGTTCCATCTATATCTATTTTAATAAAATGTTATAAATATGGCAAATAACTATTCGAAATATAAATTCTGAAGACTTTGTTTATAGTTCGAATTATTTTAGACTGGACTGTCTTTTGCAATCAATTTAATATTTAGCAATATAGATTTAAAAAATGAAAAGAAGGTTTTGCATGTAGAGTTGAAATTTAATTGTAACTATTATTAAAAAATACGTTGATTCTGCATCAGTATACCATATTGACACGTATTTTTTATTCTTTTATGAATAATTGATTTTAATATTTAATAACTTAGTGGCACTATATATTACTGTACACAATAGGAAGCTCAGTCGTAGATAACTGTAACAAACGAAAGGCATTTATAGTGTGCAATATAACTTTAACGGCTCGCATAAAATCCAAGACAGGTACGCATCGCCGCATTTGATACGCATCCTGTATCCTGCGACATCAATAATCTATGACGATGGTGTTATAAAGAGAAATGATACCCATTGAATTCTCGATATAAAAAGCGTTTAACCACCGACGAAAACCGTGTTTAAAGATTCTTTTTTTTCATATAATTTTTAAGATGGTAATTATAGACAGAGTATTATTGGCAAGATAGTCTTACAAATTACGGCTAATAAAATATTAAAAGAGAAATATTTAAAACTTTGTTCAGATAGAAGATTTTTTTTAAATCATTAAGTTAGTCATTATCATACCTTACGATTAGTATCTTTTAGTTTTATTATAACTAAATATAGTACCAGATTATAACCTTGAGACAACTAAAACGTATTATTATTAAATGCTGGTTTTCTCAAACATTTACAGCTTTGGCAATATATCTTCATAAGTACTATAAGGGAGATGTATTAATCTAGATTAATTTAATGGATATATTCATCTTGCATAGAAGAAGTTATCTTCTGTATTATGTTTTGAGTAAAATAAGAATAAAAATTTAATAATTTTTACAATGAAAATAAGGTAAATTTTTTCCTTTATACCCACAGCTATCAAGACGAGTAGAGATTGAATTACAATTACGTACCTACTTATACTTAGGAAAGTTATAAATAAGTACATGAGCACAAAAATAATAATTTTCCATCGAATAAATTATTCATTCTTATTACGAATTGTACCACTGTGAACATTGTATCTCCTAACAACCACTCATTTCCATCTCTAAAATCACCAGGTGCTTTCAAATTCACTTATATACGAGTACATTGTAGAAATCTCCAGTCAACGAACCACGACTTCAGCTTAGTATCTTAACGCAGAAACATAAACAGGACAGACATGTATGCGTATTTCAGGCCGTCATTGGGATGTTTTTGTGTGGCAGAACGAGCAGTACGCGCTCCAGTAACCGGCAGATCGAGAGACATGATTATTAGTAATAAAGATTACTGATTATATTGTTCGCAATGTCCCATGTCAGGTCGATTGCCACTTAGAAACCATCGATGTTTCCTGTCAGCGTTTACTATTATGGCACGAGATATATAAAAAGATGCCACAGTTTGTAGAGGTTTTCAAAATTCAGTTTGTATTGAACTGGGCGAGTTGCAAGTTTGCAACGATCGCAATATGTGGTCGCAATATGGCCGGCTGCTTAGCTTTTTGTCGTGCTACTTTCTCATATCGCTGTCTACGGGGATCTAATAAGCGAAACTTTGCCCTTCCTCATTCGATATGCGGCTCCTGTCGGCAGCTCTACGTCATTTGTCAGGATATGGTCGTGCGCTGTAGCGTTTGCTATGATTATCGTGGGACGTTTCTTGTCAATAACAAGACACTTATATTATCTACTTGTATTAGAAATAGATATTGATTTGATTACGTAAAAGTTATTTCATTATTTAATATAAATACTTAGTAAAATAAATTTTAATTCTGATATCCGTTTCACGGATTTGTATTTTGAAAATGTTTATAAAGTTATTTGTAGAGAATATAAGTACATGTGTACAAATTCATGTATATTCACAATATATGGGTTAATGTTTACTATTCACGAATATATGAACTATAAATTCTATGTGTGCATATACTTCAAATTTTGACATTTTTAAAACATGAATATGTATGTAGACGAGGGGTTCGTTCTGAAACGAATGACTTTTTCGTGCAATGAATACGAAAATCTTGGGGTAGTTTCATATCATGAGTACTTTACCGAGGTGAAGTTAATTTTCTTTATAATTTAAATCAAGATCTTGAAAAGAACGAAGATATATTTAAAATTATATCTAGATATTTATAGTTGCATACAATCCTGTAAATCAACTCATTCGGTACATGATCAAGATTTTTCTGTTATACATACATTGCGATTAGGGAGCGAGATTTCTGCCGTCATCTTTAGGATTAATTTTTGATTTTATATCGGAGTTGTCTTCACCGAGAAATCAGGCAGAAATATAAAATGAACCAAAAAGTCTTTTGGTTTTAGCCACTTGAGCACATGGATCTCTTTAGGCCTTTAGGCCATGACGCTATCTGGTACATATTTTATTTTACACCTAATGCCTACAAAAGGTTCATTAAGTACATTGTAAGAGACTGTTTTGAGTCACAAGATCGTTTTTATATTTCTAAACTGAGAGCAACGTACAACAATACCTACAAAAAGCTAAATTTTCTGTATATATGAATAGATATATTAGGTTCGTAGGCACAAATACGGGATTGTAGTGAATCGACTGATAAATGGAAGAGTGACTTTGTGTAGTCCGTCACGTCTTCGAAAAGAAGTGAATCCCGGAAAAAATGTCTCACGCGACAAGCCGTACCGATGCAATAGATGTTCTATATTTATCACAGAGTCCATTATTATTTAATTATGTATAGAAGGTACTTGTACCAATATATATAATACCTGCACATTTAAATTAATACTCGTATTTATTTTAGTACATATACTTACATTATGTTTAGATATACACGACGTTTTTAATCAATGTATGTTTATGCGGCTCATAAAATATTTTTATAAATATTCTGGCATGGAATATGTACGTACACCAAAACAGGTGTATCAATTTTATTGCATACTAAAAAGTGTTTTATTGATGCGTAGAGTTTGAAGGATATTTTCAATACTAAGTAGCTAGAGTAGCGCCATAGAGTAGATACAAAATATCGATTTTGATTTAAATATATTGTATAAAACAAATATTAGATAGAACTTATATAGCTCGTGTTATGGTTGGATACATTCATTGCTATACCTATAAGTGACATTATAATTGTTGTCATTCAGTTAAATAATAAATACAAAAGAATAAATAGAGATTGTGAATTTTCACTGTCTAACCTTTATTCTGATGGTTGGCAACCCTCGCACGAGTATCTCGCAAATCCCCTTAAAATGGATAGGACGTTTCTCTAAATCCTCACTTGATTATTATTTATTATCAATGTAACAAATTCGCTAACGAATTTCGAATTTTTTGGATTGTTATATACATTTTATTTGAAGTAAAGAATTAATCATTAGATAGCACAGTGATTATCACTATAATTTTTATTCAAAGACTAGTAGTAATAAACTACTCATATTTTATTATCACAGATCACACTTAAGAGATCTGTGAAATATTCTACACTATTTAATTATATACTGTTTTAAACTTGACGCGGTCATTATTTATACGTATAATTAGTAAAAATCACGGGATCTTACCACGTTTTATATTTATTTGCTGAGTTGACTATTTAATTGTTTACAGAGTTTTATTTTTAGTGTAATAACTTATTGTGTACAACTTATTGTAAGTACGTTTCTAACATAAATGTTTTGTTACAAAACAAAACGTGAAACTACAATACTTCACTAGATCAAATATATTTATTGAGTTCGTAACGCGACGTATTTTCCAATTGTGAAACGATTCAAATGATTATTTTATCAAACGAAAGGATCTAACCAATTCCGCAGCTTTATATACCGAAGGCAAAGTATACTATTATTTTAACTAATATCTTGAGGAGTATTGAAAACATAAGACTCAGTTTGTATAGGTACATAAGACTCAGTTTATATCGATACATGACCTATAAATGTAATTACTTGCAGTAGTTTCAAGTCTGGTAAAGACGGGTCGCTGGTTTATAATCAATAATGTTTAATGGCCACTTTAATCTTGCCTCAATATTTATAATTACAAGATATTAAGTTAACTATTTCCGATAATGCTATTATTAGGTAGGTACATTGAATTATCTGCTTTTATATTAAATATTATAAAACCGATATGTAATATTATATTACGTATTTCAAATATGGATAGCTTTATTTGAATGAAAATTGTGTGCAAGACAATGAAAAAAAATAATTATTATATTACTTTGCTTTTAAGTTTCGGGCGGCATAATAAATACACTGTAATGCCTATGTTATTTAACTGTAGTGCGTTACTATTCTCGAGCATCAAAGCATTTAATGGGATAAATTGGAGAGAGAAGCGAATTCAGTTACAATTTTTTTACAATATCACAGACAATATGTATAACAGAGATGTAGACCCTCTAACATTACACAGTTTACTTGTTTACTTCATATGACTAAACTAGTGTCACTTCACATCGGACATAATCTCTCCTCATAAATGATATAAAATAATTATTCTTATACTATAACTTACTATTATGATATTACTTACTTAGCAAACGAGACTACAATGTCGGCCTTATCTGAATTGATCTCTCTGAACGTAAGTCTGGATGCCTGCTGCCAGACGTCGAGGGCACGTGCGAGGACGCTTCTGGTGCCGTAGGGGTCGAGCTGAGACGGTCGTTGCTTTGAATTCAAACTGTAAAACAAACATTTCATGAGAATCTTTCACTATTGTGACGAAATGTGACGTTGTTCAATAAAGAAATATAATATGGATATCTGGTTCCAAACAAAACTATTAATAATATTAAACAATGTAAACTAAAAAACAACTTATAAAAATGTACCAATTGCAGCAAGATACTCTTGCCAGTTCGCCTAAACTGAAGTAGCTAGCCGAACTGGACCTTCCCCTAGCGTCCAGTTCCAATTCAGTTCAGTAATAAAATTACAAACATAAACGGTAGAAATTGCCCTATTACATATTTAAAAAAAAATATCTAAAGTATTACTCAAATAAATATTAATTTACCAGACAAATATTTATTCACACTGAACGGGTGGTCGGCGTAGCACGTTGAAAGGTCTGACCGATAAAGTCATTAAAAACAAATGTTTATTGATAAAGTATCACGTTACATAATTAAATTCAGCCCCAATATCAAGTGGTCAGTTTGTACACTGGATTAAACAGATTTGCTTACTGTGCATATTAATTTGGAAGTTATCAATCATTATATTAAAAAGATTAAATGATTAATGATAATGATGGTTTTAATGCAAATAACGAGATATTTTCAATCTACTTTACTTTATAAAGTAAGAGTAAGGTTCCTATTCTCTTGGCGATATAAGCTAAAATAGAGCGGATTTCTTTATTCTTTATTCCTTATTGTACACACACACACACACAATAAAAAAATTATACAGAATAAATGTAATGTACAAGGGCGAGCTTATCTCTAAAAAGAGATTTCTTCCAGCAAACCTAGAAAATGTTATAGGATCGTGTATTAAATAGAATAGTCATACATACGTGTACGAAACGAGGAGATATTAAAATATTGTTCTAATGATATTAACCATAAGTATCAATAGACATACAATCGAATATTCATAAGTTAAAATATAGTTATAATATATACCTAAATATATAAATATAAAAATACGTCAGTATTGTGAAAGATAATACGTTTTTAATCGGCATTTGAATATTTCAATACTAGAACTGGCATGTATTTCGTGAAGTAAAGAGTTCCACAATCGAATATTCGGCGAATTTTACAATTGATGTTGAGTTTACCACATGTTAGAAATAATCAGAGCGATACTAGTATAGTTAGTATTGAACAAGTTTTTATTTAATGTATATTTTTTCAGGCAAAAGTTTTAATTAGATATTATAATCAATGTAAATACTATGTAGGCTAGGTTAGTAGGGCAGGTAGATGGATGCTTAGTGAGTGCAGTAATTACAAGTATGTATACAATGATAAGTGTATTATTGGATGTAGAAAACCATTCATATCACGTGGCCCTGCAGGGCCACTGTTGTGAGCAGCTTTTCACTAATGAAATAATCGCATTGTGGACAATTTGAGTGACTCGGCCCTATTTAACGCTCACTGCGTTCATTACATGGGATTTATGCGTTGTCATGTACACAGCGACGTCATTAGCTTTGCATCCAGTTTTAATTAGAGATATATACGAGATGCATTTGCCACAAAGCCTGATAATAAATATATACCCCTTTATAAGAACGCTACCACCAATACACTTCGACAAACATACGATGACTGATGATTTTTACTACTTCCAATACATTGCTTAAATATAATGTACTTAACATGAAATAGTGCAACCATCTGTACTAACTATATTTTCTATAGGGCATTAGTGGAGAATAATAAGACAAGTCAGGTCAGTCAATTTGGCGAATTCATTAGGAATTAAATATAATAGTTCCCAGAGGGGGGTAACTATTAACTCCTATACCTATTACCAAAAACCCGCTTCCGCTTTCAGCTCTTTGGGAGTACCTACTACTACACTAGCTAGTGTGATCTCTCTCTCTCTCTAGAGTCTAATTGTCTAGTATGCATTTAATAAATGTATCAAAAAGACGCAAGGGAAATATGCGGTGATAATATGTTAATGACGAAACTGGTAGTATTCGTTATGAAATTGGCTCGCATATGCACTTCTCTAAATAACTAGATCAGTACATTAAATATGATACGTGTAAAATAATTCGTGGAGTCTTTTTAATGGTCCGACCCGGCCCCAGGACAGTTAGTTGGTAGAGCAGCGGCCGCGGCGGCAGATGGAAACCGAAATTTATTATTGCCATATTAACATTGCCCGCCGTCCGTACACGCACTATATCAGCCAACTAGTTAATTGCAAGCCTTGGATGAAATTCGCAACCGCATTTCAAAGTTAATGTTGCTACGTCAGCTCAAAATAATGAGTTTGGTCGAATTGCGCTTGGGAATTCTCGGAAACAGCAACAATTTCTTTTTGATGCTGCGATAATTTTGTGTGTACGTTTTCAATTAAGTCATTTGCTTATGCGGTATGGGAATTAAATGGTTGTCTATTTAATTCGACAATCAACCATAGTCATCGTCAGTGTATATGCTATATACGGTACAATAAAATAATTCTTATTAATAAGTATTTATCTGTGATATCCGAGAAAAATGTTAATAATATCACTGCAACTAAAGAAAAAAAAGTTCCAACTAGATTTACATGGATGAAGCCAGAGATGTAAAATCTGAGAGTAGCAATTTCAATTTCTATGGGGCACGTGAGTTTTGTTCAAAGTTCTTAGTAGTGGTTTTGAAGAAGTTCGCGGCACGTTGCATGTTGGAGGGGTCGTTGAAGGAGTTTCGGACAAATAGAAGCCGGTTCGACCGTTAAGCAAATGTAAGGTTAGTGGGACACGTGATTTTGAAATGGTTCGACGCTTGGGGCACGTGGCCACGTGACTCTAGTGGAATTACAATACACGGCCCTCCTTCGTCTATAAGAATGAATGTCGACGTATCGTTAATGGTATATTTATATTTTTTCCGTAATACTTTTGAAAATTTTTTCAAATATTTCAATAGACATTATTTCCAATGAAATATGTACTATTGAAATGACAATTTTATAAATGTAATGAAAAATTTACAGAAACTTATCGTATCCATTAGAGACGGACACCAGCATGAGTTTACGATTATTTTAATTCACTATAAATGAGCATATATAAATCATTGTTATATTTATTGCTAATAAAATGGCATAAAGTGTGCTGATATTATCACATTAAAATATGTTTCTGTATAATTTAGCAGAGGCGGTGCGGGCATTTCGTTTATGGCGAGTAATAATAAAATAAAACATGCAATATGATGACGACATGGCGACATCTTCACTACGAAACGGGCATAATCTCGTTACGATGTCGTAACAAACAGATTTGTAAGCACGAACTTTATGGTCTGTGTCCAACGAGCTAAAATTTAATTTTCTGAAATAATCTGTCAGCGAGCCATTAAAATTATTCGGCCGTGTTCCCTCCTCGTGCCTCTGCCCTCGCGGAGGTTAAGTTTTACTGAAGGAGGTATAAATCCGACTAGAGAATTTATTCGCAATCTGTAACTCGTAACTTATTTTTCGTTTCTTAATCTATAGAAACAGGTATAATTGAAAATAGTTGTTACCAGCGAATTTGTCCGCATGGAGGGAAAAAAGACATTACATTAGTTATATGCTATTTAAAATTTCGCCCGATTGTTTCAAAGATTAGCAAAATAAACAAACAGTCAAAAACTTTATAACTATTTTATGTACGTACCGTAGATATATACTTTCTTACACATGTAGTGGAAATCTGTTAATATTTTTGTGAAAGAATTTACTGAGTTCCACTATCGTATATCGGTATTAATTAGCATTTGAGAGTATTTTTTCTACATTTATATTGGTGTAATGATTAATATAAATTCACTTGTAAATAAGTAGTCGAAAGTCGTTATGATTAAATTTACCTGAGATCACAAATACTGCAAAACGAACATTTACGTAAATGTTTGAAAAATATTATACATATATATTGAATGAGTCTGTCAACAATCATAATGGAAAAGACAGTGGGCACAAATTACATTTTCTTTTAGTGCCCGAAAATCTGGATTAGCATAAATATAATAAAATGTCAGTCGTCGCTGTCGGCCGAACGGTGGGCACCCGGCACGCGGCACTAGTGACCAGCAAGTTTATTTTTGCGCGTAATCAAATTGATATATGTAGAATAAAGAGATGTCAAATTATAGACTTAAATACGATTTAAATAAACTCGAATGATACATAAATGTTACTATTTTATCTATAAAATAAATTTCAAGAGTACTGCAAAAGACCAATAAATATAAGCCACTATTAAGTAATACTTAGGTTTGATTTTGATTCGAATTTGGCATGGTGTAGTTTATGTATGGATCGAATGCGACGCCTACATTTAAATATTAAAATATGAGAAGAGTTTCATCCTACCATTAACGAGTACTTGTACTTGTAAAATATAATATATATATATATATATATAATGTATAGTTGTAAAAGTTGAACCGGCATCGCCATTATGTACTGGTATAGTGTAGCTACATCAAGTTACCAAACAATCATACGGATCACTTGACGGTATTCGGTTACCGTAGCTACGGCACCGTAGCTAGAGATACTAGCTGTCACGTGACTTGTGGCTATAAAATTACAATAAGTGTATTAAAACTTACTGCAGTTGACAACATTTAATAATGAAGACTCACATAAAAAACTACTTAGATATTCTGCCCAAGTTTATCAGCAGAAGAACAAGTAGAAGGTTTTTCTACTGCCTGAGTTTCTAATGATTTTGGCTATTATATAGGTACTGCGAAGACACGAGTAGATAAATCCATAATATATTTACTTGATATTGTGATTGAAACAACAAATTATTCGAAACGAAATAAAATAAATATATTTTAAATATTTATATGTACCCAATGTTACACATTTTTACTCTACTACTCATTACACGAGTTTTACATTAATTATTTATTAATAATTATTAGTAATGTCAAAAATTGAATGTATCATTACACAGGCTAATGTAGCTTTATTATTTTTACATATAGCTTGATATTTATTTTTAGG